TTCTCTGCAGCATTGAATTGCATCACTGAACATCTCATCAACCCCATACTTGAATTTGAAACCAGAATCCAATAGCTTCTTAGATGACAGACCGGGTAATTTCGGACCTTCAACTCTACTTAAATCACTACACAGAAAGATAGAACCAAGAAAACAAAGGAATTTTGATTTAATTTTTTAGACTGAAACGGAAAAGAGACTCAAGTAATATGAAGAAGAATAGTTTAACTCACTCTGCTGAGGGTATTCGAGCTTCCGGGTATTTTGCAGAGATTAATTCAGCTATTTGTACAATTGTTATGACATCTGCAGAACAATTGTATCTCCCTTTTGCCTCATGATGTTCAAAAAGGAAAATGTGTGCTCTGGCAACATCATCCACATGCACCACAGATGCATTGATGATAAAGCTAAGTTGATCAAAGTCACCTGCATTAAAACATGATTCAGAGAAGATGCTTTACAATATGTTTGGACTTTGGATTCAAACACATTCTTCAAGCTATACAAACCAAAGGCCATAGACAAAGAGGTTTGAACAGGGCCGGGGAGCTTTGGACAAATAAAGGGGCCAACAACAAAAGAAGGAATTACTGTCACAACATCCAATCCATGTTTCTCTGAAAATTCAAGAACTGCCCTTTCAGTTAATGTCTCTGAAATCATGTATGAGCCTCCATATGGCTTGACAGCTTTGATGTAATCTATGTCACTCCAAAAGCTCTCATCCAGTTCCTCTACATCATCCCTGCTGCCGAACATGACAGCAGATGCGCTCGAGGTGTATACAACTCGTTTCACAGTTTTCGAATTTAAGCATGCCTTTAGAATGCCAAGGGCTCCATCAATTGATCTTTTGGTCACCACTTCTTCAGGTTCCTTATCTTGGAAGTCAACTGGAGTAGCAACATGGAACAATCCGATGCATCCTTCAATGGCTGCATTGAAACTTTCTGGGTTTCTGAGATCCGCATTGAAAATTTTTAGCCGTGCCGATGCTCCTGGTAGACTTGTGAGGAAGCTTACATCTTTCTTGTTCTCTGGTTGTTAAGAGAAGAGAAAAAAAAGGTGCTATGACTTTACTTTTCATGTGCACACAAATTAAGTGGTTTGGATAAGAAGACAGAAAAACTTTTTGGGGCAGGAACAATAGAAACTTTGAAGACTGGGCTTTTCCCTTGACCTTATGAAAATGAAAATCCTACGAGATGCCACACTTACAGAGAAATCTCCATTAAAATATTATGGCTTGGCAATCAAATGAAGTAGTGGCTTTACCTGGGTCTGATCTGACAGTGGTGTTGACAGAGTAGCCATGATCAAGGAGCCTCATGACCAGCCAAGACCCTATAAACCCTGAACCACCCGTTACACATACTCTTCCTTTCTCTCCCTCCTCCATCTTTCTGTTTTCTTCAATCCACAAGTCTGGTTGATTTGCTCATTACAATCTCAAGATATAAACAGTACACTCTTATCTTTGGTGAGGGCTCTTTGTCAGCTTGTATTGTGCAGTAACTTTCTGAGTGGGCATGCAGTGACTTTCATGAGATGCTTTGTTTTTAATTGTTGCTGCTATCTTGGGTAACTATCAACAGAGACGCTTGAAGCTGAAATGCCTTACAATTTACCCCCAAGTCAAAACAAACAATGATCTACACTTGGAATTATGATAAAGGAAAAAGAAGGGGGAAGAAAAGTTGTCGCTGACACCTAGAACCGTCATTACTCCTTGTGTGGTGATAAAGGGATAAGGTTTTTTTTTTTTTTT